CCCCAAAACCCCAAAACCCCAAAACCCCAAAACCCCAATTTTACACGAGTAGTTGAATAAATTTGTTAAATTATTACCTGATACATTAGACTATCTTCAGCTTCAAGTCACCTGACTTAATCTCAGACAGTTGGTCAAGTTTGACCCTCTTAAACTGCTGAAGCTTGAATCTTTGAGGGGGTTTCTAAAAATAAGTGATAAAGGGTACATTCATCTGAGCTTCCTTCAAAATCCGAATTCTGTTCTTAAGTTCCATCTTCTTCATCTTACTCTGATGTGGAGTATGGTTCTTGATAGTAGACTGAGCATATTTCTTGACCCTCTGTAAAATTGACAAAATATCATACCTCTTGTTTCTCCAGAGCTGAGAATAACTTGTGGCTAAGAGACCCGTCCCATCCTCTAAAGTTTATTAAGGCGAACCTTACTTCTTCCTCAGCTTGGAGTACTCTTCATAGCTCAAATTCTGGCTGAAGGTGGTCCTTAGATGGATATCAGGGAGACCTAGGCTATCATGGGAACCTTACTTGAAGGGTTGTCTTGAGGACTGTTCAAATTCAGACTTTTCTTAAACCTTTGGAACATCTTAAGCATTGGGCTACAATTTGATGATGCTGCTTACTCAGTCCTAGTCTCATCACTTTTATTAAGAGTCTTAGACAGTTTCGTCCCAAGCTTGCCTCCTCTAAGCGGAGGTCTCCCTATCCTTCTTGATCTTTCCTTTAGTTCCTTCGTACTAGGAACTGGAGGCTTTATATGAGCCCGAGGTTTCTCGTGCATCGAGGAGTTCCTATTCGGGGTTGAGTATCTTGCTTGAAGTGGTAAACCAGGGCTAACTCTTGAGAAATTTAGTCGCCTAATATTTAATGCAAAAACCTGACTTCAAGTCTTCCCTTCTTCGTTCTAAAGAGTTATACTTTCATTTCCCACCTCGTGAAGGAAAATCTGAATTAAATCCACCATCTTTGGGTGGACTTTGAAGCTTATTTATGTACTGTGATTCTTTTTGGCTTGGACTTACTCTGGACAGCTATAGGCCTAATAAACTCTTTACCTCAGTTCTTTTCGGGGATGTCTGAATAGACACATTATTTGTAAGTACTCTTCTTAATCTCAATTTCCTTATTATCAATCAAGCTGCTCTCCCCTCTTGCAAGAGCTCCGTTGATTTTCTGAAGCTTGAGTCTCTTCACCTTAGGATGTCCAGATCTGAGTTTATCATTTGATTTTAAAAGCTGGGTTTGCTGCTTGCGAGCGCGGGCTTTTTTCTTGCCCAAAGATGAGCTAGATAATGAAGAGTTGTCCTTTAACTTCTTCCTTTCTTTCTTGATATTAGGAGTCTGAGACCGTATAGGCTTGCTCTTGTTGAACCCAAGGAGGCCCCCTAACTCAGCATTGTCAGTACGTTGCTGGATCATTTGGCTCTTGTACGGCGAATTGTTCCTAGAATTACCTTTACTAATCTTTTCACGAAGATTATCGTCAAAGTTGTGAACAGGGATGGACTTTCTTTTCTCGCTCTTATCGTCAAGGTACATCTCAAGCAGGATTTTTTCCTCAATAACACATATTTCCTTAGCAATCCTCTTTGTGATTGTCTTGAAGTTCTTGCTCCTTTCCTTAGTGCTCTCGGAGAGCTCTCCTACTGAGTTTTCTACAGGAACTCTATTTGAGGTGTCAGAGATTTGTTTTTATTTCTTCTTAACAGCACAAAGGGTCCTATTCTAGTCTTGAAGCATCCTCCAAAATTCCCAAATTTCAAGTCTATTTATGAAAAAGTTTCCCTAAACGACTACGGCTGGCTTACTTCTTATTCCTGCTCCGTTTAGTCCGCTTGGGTTCTTCCTTCGTGTGGATGCTAAAACGTTGTCAAAACAGGGTGGAAATACTCATTCATGGCCTTAGTGTAACTATCGAAGTCATCTTCGCCCTCATCCTCAGTGCCAAAGTCCTTGGTTTCCTCCTTGATGATGGACATCTTGATCGCTTTGTTCTTAGAAGTGCTATTTTGAGATTTCGCCCATTTTAGTCTTCTTAATCTAGAGTTAAGCAAGGAGATACCTTCAACATGTTCTTACTGCTGGTCTTGGAAACAGCCTTTGCCTTCATTATGGAAATCTTCCGAGTAGAGCCTTCTTTCTGGGATGTCAAGCAGAACTTACCTTGGGGTTCATAGGTTTTGAATCCCCTTTGTTCATGAAATCTTCGAAACTTATTTGAGCTTTGGATGCTATATTGCTATGTTAAGAGATGTAGACAAGCCAGAGAGGTCAGATTAGAGCTATAATACATTTCTTCATCCTCTTGTTAAAATTTTTATAACTTTATGTAGAAAGGGGTTTTGGGGTTTTGGGGTTTTGGGG